ATGTGAACATTGTAACATTGTCTGCCGTTTGAGATTGCAGAATGACGTACAAGGACAGAGAGGACGAGAAAGTACGATGATAACATGCTTAGATAGCAGGATGTGCAGTTAAGATGCTGGGTTCGGTCGGGCTGTGCGAGAAGAAGGGGAGTGATATTGTTATACAAAGAATGTGAGAATGTGTATAAGAGTGAGTGACTGAAACGAGGGAGGGCTGCACTCTGCTTAGACAGGCGAGAGGAGAGCAGTGTGAGTCCAGAGCTCTGTAAGCAATCTCAAACTTCTATGCTTGGCTATACTTTTAATAAATTAGACGTGTTGAACTTTAAATCTGTGTCCTGCATACTTCATCAAACGAACACGCGAGTCCGGTTTTGCTGCGAAATAATAGTGGACTCAACACTAATGATAAGTAGTGATAAGCTATATGTGAACTTTAAATGCAGGTAATTACAGACTAACAGTATTGTTCTGACATGAGAGGGATTTTGTTATTCGAGGTGTTGATAAACCATGAAGCTGGCCTACATAATCATGTAGTCTTAATAACTTGTCACAAAATCCAAAAAATATCCCCCTCTTAGTAACTGTATGCACGTTTTAATTTTAAGAATGATCACATTAAGCGCAGATTTGACATTGTAAGTCAAAAAGTCAAAATCATGGGACATGACAACATTAAAAGTTGTGAAATAATTCCAAGTTTAAAAGAAGAAAAGGTAAAAAAAAAAGACATGGTTAAGTTTTATGTTTGAGTTGTGGTGTCATGTGACAAGGTGACGTTCACCGCCGGAGCAGGAAGTAACTCGACCGTCAACAAAAGCAGGTGTAGTAAGCATGGATGTATGGTTGTAAGTGATGATATGAACTCTGACTGTAGCTAGAGTGTGTTTTTGTGAAAGCTGAAATGAAAAATATTTCTAAGCTCACCTCGATAGATGTTATTTTGGTGTCCCGCACATGACTGCAGCAGTTTGGTCTTGTTAGCACTACCCTGCTAGCCTGAGGTACAGCAGCATGTGTCTTAATTATTTCAATTTAAATTATACCCCTCTGTGTCTTTGTACCGCTGCAGCCGGTAATTAAAACCATAATGGAGACTCGCTTCACCAGAGGCAAGTCTGCTATTTTGGAGCGGCCTCTGAGCCGACCTAAAACCGAGGTGAGTGTGAGTGCCTTCGCCCTGCTGTTCTCGGAGGTGGTGCAGTACTGCCAGAGCCGGGTGTACTCGGTGTCCGAGCTGCAGGCTCGTCTGGCAGAGCTGGGTCAGCGGGTCGGAGGCAGCCTGCTGGACGTGCTGGTGCTGAGAGAGAAGAGCGGCAAGAGGGAAACCAAAGTCCTAAACATACTGCTGTTTATCAAGGTACACATCAGCTCTGTTTGTGTGTGTCTGTGTGTGTCTGTGTGTGTCTGTGTCTGTGTATCACAGACATGGCCCTACACATACTTTACACCTAGTTTAGTTCATTACATTTTGCTAATAATGTTAATGTCCTTGTTTATGTAAAAATTTTAAATGCAGGACTTTTCAGACTATTTTCACTCTGTGGTACTGATGGCCTACTTTCACTTAAGTAAAGGATTTAACTACTTATATATGCATATGTCTGACCTGAATACCACTGGTTGTAAAAGGATATAAGAACAGATCAAAGAAGGAAACATATGTGAGGGGAGAGGTCAAGAAGCTGTACATAATACAAAGTGTTTAAGTCCTCTAAACTTAAGAATCAGAATCAGCTTTATCGGCCAAGTAGGTGTACACATACAAGTAAAGGACTTGTGGAGACATTAAATAGTAACAAAAACACCAATATTTAATGCTATTAAGGTAATATTGATTCCTGCTGAAAAATGTGTTCATTGAACGTCTGCCTGTTTAGGCAGCAATGTCATATTACTGGGGGGCCATCAAGCATGTGCATCAATGCCTCCTCTCCAACTCTGTTTTCAGTGTCATTTTATGTTTTATTCTTGAAGTACATCACAGAGTCAGAGCATATCAATTACAATGTGATGTATAATATATAAGCAATGTTTTTTTTTGTTTTATATTTTTTTAATTATTGCACTAGTAAACTGTTTTTAAAAAATACCATCTGCCGCAGGCTGCAGGTTTGAGATGTTTTGTGTTCACATCATGCTGCTCTGCACCATTCAGGCAACAACATGATTTCCTGGAGAGGCATCTTTCCATTTGTTGAGCTGTTGTCGTAATGCATCACTGTGATTGACACAGCTGTTTCAGAGCTATGGGACCAGTTATGTCACCGGCTAAGAGTGTATTTATTTATCACCATACCCTCAGATTTATATTCATCTCACCCAACCCAATAAACAGGTGTGATATCAGCACATTTGAATATTGGGAACACTATAAAACATACACTCATTACATTTTTAATGTTGTGTTTATGAAATCCCAGTGTGAACCTCTGCCTGCATGCTCCTCAGTCATTTGCTTTGTACTCCACAGGTATCTGTGTGGAGAGCCTTGTTTGGCAAGGAGGCAGACAAGCTGGAGCAGGCCAACGACGATGACAAGACCTACTACATCATCGAAAAAGAGCCGCTCGTCAACACGTACATCTCTGTTCCTAAAGAGAACAGCACCTTGAACTGTGCAGCCTTCACCGGAGGGATCGTGGAGGCCATCCTCACCCACAGTGGCTTCCCCGCCAAAGTCACCGTCCACTGGCACAAGGGCACCACGCTCATGATCAAGTTTGATGAGGCAGTGATCGCCAGAGACAAGGCACTGGAAGGCAGATAGTGGAGATGGGAGATTGAGAGGGTGTGCGTGGGTGAAGGTATGATGTTAATTTAACTGCTGGAATGTCTCGATCAGACAATTAACAATTATTTATATTATTGGTTAATGGTCAGAATTTTTTCTTTATTAATCGACTGTTTAGTGTACAAAATGTCAGCCCATTAGCGTTCCCCAAGATGCAAGTTGACATATTTTTTTTTTGCTTTTTTTGTCTAATCAACATCTTAAAACCCAAAGAAATTCAGTTTACTTTTAGAAGCATAACAAAAAAATAGCAAATGTTCACATTCGACAAACTGTAATCAGTCATCTGTTGTTATTTTTACTTTCTATATTAGTTGATCAATTATCAAAATTGTTGTTGATCAACTTTCTATCACAAAACTAATCGATAAATGAACATTTCAGCACTAAGGGAAAGTGTACTGTGTTGAATATATTGAATGTATCTGTTACTCAGACATATTTATTGATTCCACTCCTTTGCAATGGAAAGTAAGACTTTCCTGGACAAATACAAAATGTAAACATCACACAAAGTTGTCTGTTCATTTAAGTGATTATTGGTTAATCTTGTGCTGCATATGAGCTTGTTGTTTTCTTTTTGTACATCACATTTCGCTGACACCAAACATTTCCAAACCAAACAGCTGATGGGAAATCTTCCATTTCCTCATATTACCATATGAATCAGATTAAAGGTTAATTGACAGGCCTTTTGCGATTATAGTTGTATCCTTCACAGACTCTGCCTGCTCGTGTTTGTATTGCAGGAATAAAACAACCCTGTAACACAGTAGCAGGGATGTGTTCAAAACGTGGGGCTGCTTTACTTGTGTCACATGTTAAGCCTTCATCTAAAGCTTCACTGTTGGCATGTGTGTTTATGCAAATTAATGTTTATACCTGTATATGTTCTGATATGAACATGAAATGTAAATAAATACATGAAGGGATGTTTTGGAAAAATATTTTTATGATGGATGTTTTGCCACAGAAGTTACTGCAACTGGAAAATTAAGTGTTGGGAAAGTAGGGAGGGGCGGTGAGTCATTTGTCTGAGAGGGAAAACAAAGAGTTCTCACTCTGCTCCTGTTTCAGAGTACCACAAATGTGTGATGGCAAGGTATTAGATTAATGCATTATTTTTGCATTTACCCTCAAAAACCTTCAAGGTAAATTGAATGAATTCAGTAGATAATGACACTTTTAATGACATTTGACACTATTACAAAACTGTTCACAGTTTGTCCAGATCAAAATGTGACTGAAGATAATTGTAGTAATGGTGGAATTTATGCATACGGAGTGGTAGCCTTTTCACTGAGTGATCAGTTAAATAGAAAGACCTGTACAATAAAATATAATTCATCACAACAGTCTTGTAATTATTAACTTATTTTATATCACAGACACTGGGCTACTGAGTTGAAATCATATTAGATATGACCCCTGCGTAATTTTACAAAATGAAAATGTACAGTTGTAAATTATGCTGTGTAGGCATGGCTAGATTACAAACTGGACACAGCAGGGCACTGCCCAGGGGCCTCAAAAACCTCAGGTTTATTCTGTATCATTTATGTCCACATAGTTTGATGAATTTGTCTGAAGTAGGCTACAATACAAACTAAGACAGGTCCTCCATCTTGTGTAGAGCAAACCTGTGGTTTAAAGCTTTGTTTTAGTTTATGTTTTGATCACTTGTAAAATAGTTTTATTAAATTGCTTTTTCTCTGAGTGTGTTCAGGAAGTAATTACACACCGAAAACCTCAGGCAAAGTCACATTTTTCCATCATAGGAGAACTGCAACCAACAATTACATTCTTTATCAATACGCTAACAATTATTGTCCTTAATAATTGAGTAATTATGAAGTGCATAAAATGTCAGATGTTGTTGTTGTTGTTTATTTTTGTTGTTGTTTTCAACTATTTCTATAAAATGTTGAAAATTCAATAAACCTATTGATGAAAAACTTATACATAAACATGGATGCACATTTATGACTTAACTAATCATTTCGCCTCTAGATTACTGGGGAAATAATGAAACTGCCATGAGAAGTGGATAACGGCATCACGTGCATCATTGCACGGGATCGTCTTAAAAAAAAAAATCTGCAAAAGATCAGTCATTGTGCCAGACCCCACAGCACTTCTCTGCCCATAGTTGGCTCATGTGGTCACATGGTGTTGGTCACATGACCTGAGCGGAAGACAGCAGCAGTTCTGCAGGGCTCTTCTGTCAAGACCGTAGTCTGCTCATAAACAGGCACTGCCACAGTGAAAACAGTCGGCTACTTTTAGGTGTAGCCGTATGATTCGCCTATTTATTGTCTTTTAAAGAATTAACTTCATGGCTGCGACAGGACACCGGGACTCCTCAGGTAATGTAGCGCCAACATTTAACTTTTCAATTTTTTTTATATAAAACATACAACTCACAACTCATTCGTCTTTTCGCAGGAGAGATTGTTTTGCTCGTTAACAACACACAGTTCAGGTGGTTTTCCTCTGTATTGAAGCTGGTGTTAGAGCTGCTTTCTCGTTTCTAAACGGAGCTGTTGTTTTTGTTGAGACGTCCTCAACATCACGGTTATCACATGTATGTCTGCTCTCGGTGAAGTACTGCAGTCATTATCAACAAGTATGTTTTTACATCAGGTTTATAGTGACTCTGTATTTTAATCTTCAGTGGGGTTTTTACCTCTCCATTCCTCTACAAAACAGAAACTTTAGAGCACAATAACAGAGTTGTTAACGTGACATCCTCATGATTATCATCGCTGCAATAACCACAGCTAGGTCGCAAATTATTGTTTACCCTCACAAATCCTTCTTCATAAGACTTAAATTCACAGAACTGAAACAATTAGCTGACTAATAGGTTAGTTACCTGGCAGAAATGTGTTATTATTTTTGACAATCATTTAAGTATTGAGTCTTTTTTATGCAAAAATGCCAAAGATTCACTGTCTCCATGTTCTTAAATGTAGAGATTTGCTGCATTTCTCGATTTTATGTCAATATGAGTTTAGTACCTCAGACAAAACAAGAATATATTTTGGGTTCATTGAACTTGTGATAACTTGTGAAGGGTGGCATTGTGGTGGAGTGGTTAGCTCTGTCGCCTCACAGCAATCAGATTCTTCTTTCTGTGTGGAGTATGCATGATCTCCTGTGTGGGTTTCCTCAGGTGAATTGGAAATTGTCCATAGGTGTGAATGTGAGCATGAATGGTTGTTTGGCTCTATATGTCAGCCATGTATAGAAATGGCAACATGTGCAGGGTTTACACGAACAATGTCAGCCCCCCTTGCGACCCCGAACGGCCAATGAATGAATGAATGAATGAAGTTGTGAAGGTCATTTTTTCATATTCAATTTCTGATATTTTAGACAAAGCGGCTGGTTTACCTTCAGTTACATGTATGGCAGACTAGAATAATTGAATGACCCTTTGCACCAAGTCAGCTGACTGAACATCAGTGCTGATTGGGGAACTATACTACCGCGTCTCATGTGTGAATTACTCGCCCAAGTTTCAGAGGTTGCAGTGGTTGTGTGATTTCTTTGTCTAAAAGAGACTGTTGTTAAATCTCTCTCCCATTAAGACCCAGATGCTACACCACCACCACATCTAAACGGCCTGACTCTTTCACACATAATAATAGCTCTTTCATAAGCTCCTCTCATGCATGGTTGAGTGAGTCTGTAGTTTTTTGCAGGATTGTTTTCTTTGGTAGATGAAGTAGGACTGCACTGAGAATAGCGACCCTCTGTATTGGGGGGCTTACTGACTTTTTAAGCCTGTGAGATGTGGTTGAAAGCCCTGGAAAAAAAAAAGTTAGTATGTAGACCTTGAGTTGAGATGTTTTTGTATTGCGTGTTTGTATTTTAATAACAACTTGTGTTTTCATGATCAGCTCTGAGGAGCTTTGAGACACACATACAGACTAACGCCTACTTCATGTAGCATCGCACACAGTATATGGTCAGGAAGCTTCAAGTTAAAGGGTCAGCTAACCCTAACCCAAGTTACAAAAAGATTTTACTTCCTAATGGTATCTAACTATGTATGTGCGGAGGTTTTGAGATAACTTTTTCAGATTTTTCCTGCCACCCCCAGTATAATTATATGCCATTAGAGGTAAGTAAGAATATACACGATATACATGTTTTCTCTTGTAATTAGGCTGCATTGACCATTTAAAACTGTATGATCAGGATTATTTTTCTCTTCCTCCGCTGATAGTGAAGTGGTCATTGAAAAGTGATGTTGAACTCATTGCTGCAAAAGAACGAGGCATTTCACATTTCACATTTCACAAAAAAGATATCCTCCTTCCAACATCTAACCTAGATTATCAGTATGTCATCTGTTTTTTTTTTTTGTTCAAGATGTTTCCTTTAACTCGGGTAAAAGTGGAAGTTTTGGACTCTCAGCCTGTGGGTGGCCTTTTGCTCTGGACTGCCAGACTAGATCCAGGCACTGATACCAAGTTGTTGACAGATTTCTTGTTATCGTAAGGATTTTGATCGACAGCGAGGTAGCTACATCAGTGCTTCTGCCATCACTCCACAGGCGGCAGTGAACCGGAAGAGCCAGATATTTTCACAGATTTATTCAGCTTGAGCGACTCAAAGTGTCAAACATGGTGGCATGGTCAGTAGCCTGCACCCACTTTTGTTTGTCCGATTGTTATCTGCCGTGACGATCGACACACAAAAAATATGTGTGCAGTCTGAAATGTTAAGTGGTTGGATTCATTTGGCTGCTTTTCATGCTTCTCACCAAGGCACGCAACCCCTGTCAAAGCCAGGGCACCTCGTCTGCCTCGTTTGTAGCCGAGTTAATGAAAATGCTGTCACTCACAGCAAATTTTGTTGAAGTCAAATGCTCGTGGATTTTATTCATACCAATACAGCTAGAAATTCTCACACGTTAATAACAGGTGTTGGTTAATGTAGGAAATGAACCATATGAAAATGGGTTTGTTTACTGTTGGCAAACAAATCATAAAATCTCTGGTTACAACTTTTTTTCCTATGCTGAGTCACGCACAGCAAGCATTTCCGTCAAACTTGGTTTCCAGATATTGAGCAAAAAAACAAGGTAAAGACGTAAAGATTTGAGACTTAGTTTAAGACCATGTAAGGTACAGTTAAACTGAAAGAAGTTGTGTAAAGTGTTTGTGGCTCCAGAGGGAGCGATGTTTAAAGTGATGTCACTTGAGTCAATGTTAGTTGGGTCTGAAGATTACAAGATTAAGAACTTTTTTATTTATTTATTTATTTATTTATTTTTATCTGCGTGTGGAGTTAACAAAGTTAGTTTACCAGGCCTCTGTAGCTCGCTCCCCATCTCTGCTTGAGGCTAGCATAACACACCAGAATCTCTGACCAAACAGTCACCGGACAAGTTGCATTTTGCGCCAATGTAATCGCCAGATTTTGAAAAGGAAGATAAGTGAACGGGGGGAAAAAGACAATATCTCTGGTTCTGCTGCATCGATTTCGATACTGTTCTTGAAACTTTCCGCCACGAGTCTGACGGTGTTGTAGGAATGCAGTGCTAAATCGTTGTAGCACTCTTTTACGCAATATTCAGATACATACATAAAGCTGCATTTTGTCCACTGATCATACACAGAATAAGCCTCTGTATCTTCTTTGTGTAAGAATTAATGAACCAACAAAGATGAAAACATGGAACCCATGATCACTACCAAATAGATCGATTGGTTCTTTAATACACACTAGAAAAGTGCTAAATCTGTGTAATTAATTTTCTGAGACACTTGAATGTATGTTTACATCAGTAATACGCTTGTGTCATGAAGCAGAATTCATTCTAAATTAGTTGGATAACTGCCTCAAGTAAAACCCAGAGGAGTCCATGTTTCAGATTTAAAAAGAAAATGCTGATTACTCTTTTAACAGTATCAGAAAACATGAACTGCTCCAATTTAATTGTTCAGTCTTTTTTTTGGTAGTGAGGCTACCCATTTGTTACATTTCATGTGGTGGATTGTTATCTATAAAAAGGGCCCTCTCCTTTTAGTAACTTGTGCTGAGCTGATCCTCTGAAGAAATAAATTATGGGTAAAGAGAGGACTCTTAAGTATTGCACCATGTTGAAAAACAGGAAAACTTGACAAATGTCATTTGTGTCATTGTTTGAGTGCAGTGCAAGGAAATAATGCGCGACATGTATTTGGAGTTGTGTCAGTCCCAATCTTTTCCGTGTCATGCTCCTCTGTTGAACTTTCATCTTGTTTACAGTTAGTGCTGACTAACATTAAACACCAGTGGTGTATTCCTCTTGTTTCACTTCTCATTTCCATTGGACAACTCTGCCCAGCTGTTGGTTTGCTTTGCTGACTTATTGTGTCTGTTGAGTTTGGATTCACCCTCAGCAGTTTCTGACCTTGCCATGCTGACTTTGACTTCATAGTAATACTTAAATAAGGTCCCCATGTCTGTCAAACAAAAAACAGTAAACACATGCTTTAAAATCATCTCTTCGTGTGCAGCGATCAGTCGTTGGTCTAGAAAGCTAAAAACATGTGACAGCATGATTAAGCTACTTGGTGATTTGTGGTTTTTCCTATGGGTTGTAGTCAGTTCCTGCAGAGGTATGACACATAAATCGCCTGCTGTTAGCTGAGTCACACTTTTATGATTTATAAAAAAAAATCTTGGTTAAATTGACCAGTCTGTCCGTCTCTCACTAACTTTTTCTTTTTCTCTCCAAAATCCATTTTTAAAGTTGAAATTCTTTCAGTTATATCACTAATTATTTAAAGACAAAGTCAGTTGCACACGAGTTGTAAACATTAAGTAGAAGTCCAGGTCCTGAAAAGTCTTAAAAAACATGGTTTAGTTTCCTTTTTAAAAAAAAAAAAAAAAAAATGGCCTCAGCGGGAATTAAAAAATCTTAAATTGAATTCACAATAGTCTCAGATGTTTTCTGTTGCCTACAGTAGATGCTGTTGTTAGTTATAATATGTTTTTGGATCAGATTGCAGGCTGTACAGTTACTGTTTACCACATTACACCCTGTGTAGTAAAGTCAGTAATAACCTTATACCCCCTTTCCCCTATTTCTTTTTCTTTTTTTAATCATCATTAAGTTGAAATGATCTTGTCTTTGATTTGACAGCTTCTTTTTTTTTTGTTTGGTTGGTGCAACCTGAGGCGCTAGTGTAAGGATGCTGCTACTAATTGTTTGAAATTTGATTCCTGACAAGGCTCTATGAACATGTAATGTCCAAAACATGTCTCATACATACTCTCCTCAGTTTCTGTTGTTACCCTTGTCAAACCCAGCCAGGTCAGACTCCTTAGATTTGTCAGCTCTTACCAAACCATCCCAGGAATCTGCCTCACTTCACCTGCTACACTGATGTCTGCAGTAACTAGACACGCTGCAGATTTCTCCCTTTCACTGTCACTTTTTGAAAGGGTGCCTTAGATTCATAGTTTAACCTTGGCTTCAGATACTTTCCCATATTTAAAGAGGAAGAGAGAATGAAGAAAGCATGACTCCTCTCTAAATTTAATAAAAATAAGAAGTGTAGCAGTGTTTTCAGAAATCATGCACAGTGTGAAGACAACTGTAAAAATCACATGTTGGTTATTTTAGTGCCCTGTCCTCAGCAACATTAGCCCTTTCAGCTTTGCAGCTTTGCAGCTGAAAGGGTTAAATCACATGTAAAGCCGACCTGAGCACATGTTCAGCGTGCCAGAGGGGACAGAGAGAGGTAAAGCCAGACACAGTGAGAGACAAAGAGAAGGTGAAAGCAGTGAAAGCTGAAGACAGACTTCAGACTCAGGCACACTTGTGGTGCTGACAGGTTGCTGTTGCTGCAAGTCGTCTGTGTCTGTGACAAGAAGGTCAAGTAGAGTTTTGCAGGAAATGACGAGACTTAGGCTCAGCACTTTGGAAAACCAGTTCAATTCATGTAAATGATGCTTTCCTGTTCAGCCAGTTGGTATAGTCACTGTTGTCTCATATGGCAATGCTAACAGACTTGTTTGGTCAAAAACTTTAGTACTGAACAATTTTAAATTTTGACTTGATGAAAAGATGAAGATTCAGGGGATGACCAAAGTTATTACGATTCATCCAGAGGGCAACATGAATGTCTGTCATGGAAATCCATCAAACGGTTGGTGAGATTTTCCAGTCAGGACCAAGGTGGTGGAACGACCAACATTGCCATCCTTGGAGCCGTTTCTAGCAACCAACTAAAAATAAACACATTTAATCAAATTAAATATTAACCTTTAGGGGGAAACAAGCACAGGCGCTACTTTGTATGACAAATGCTATGTTTTTTAATAAGCGTGGCTGTTGTTATTTAGGCCATCATCCACTAACTAAATTGACCATGACATGAGATGCATCAGGATCAGGGTGGCTCACCTCAGCTAAATAGTTTCTAAGAAGAAACCCTGAAAGCAGTACTGACTCTGAGCCACATCTGCCACACTTAATAAACACCAGCCTGAATGGGTTAAACAGTATCGATCGTAATGAGGAGGGAAAGACAGTAATGCTAATTTAGAAGAATCTGTCTGTCACTAACTGCTGAAATAGTAATGTGCATTGTGGGTTTGGCTTGAAAATGTTGACACATGCCAATGTTCAGAGTAAATGTAGTCTGTGAATGAAGAAAATCTAAATCAGAAGATGTAGAGCCTGTCCAAAACTGGAATTTTAAGGAATTTACCAATATTGATATTTAAAAGTTAAAATGATCAATTAAAATGATATGGGCTGTTATTAACTTTCTACATAGACCGATAACACAGAAACACATTTGCCAAGGATCCCTTTGTTCTTTGATCCTTGTGTTTGTAAAGCAACTAAGATATGTGTTAGTTAGTGTTTCTGAACTGCCTCATGAATCTTTGGCGTTTCTGTAATCTCTTGTTACTTATTGTGCGGCATTTCATATTCGATGTGTGGCTATTAAATAATGATGACATGCAGGACTTTGAGTACTCGTAGCTCATTGGGAGCTTGTACATCAGGTGGATATTTTCTCAGTCTGCTTGTCTTTGAGTATTAGTCCTGATCAAAGATTAATTCAGTACTTTTTTAAAATCATTTTGACCAAGATGAAATCTTGATCAAAATTTGCATGAGCATGAAGAAACAAAAACGCTGTTTCATTTTTTTTCTCCTCCAGAACGAGAAGGCCTGTCCTCCTCTGTGACTCACTACGGCTCCACAGACAGCAGCGGCGAGTATGACCATCACAGTGGCAGTCATGGCAACAACCACAGCAACCATCAGTTTCCCACGACGGGAGCAGGTCATTGGGTTGGGGCTGATCAGGAAGAGGAAGCCCTTCGCAGGAAGCTTAAATACTTCTTCATGAGTCCTTGTGATAAATATCATGCTAAGGGCCGCAAGCCTTTTAAACTGATCCTGCAGCTGCTCAAGATCATTATAGTCACAGCTCAGGTACATTGCTCTTTTTTCTCACCACAGCATTTTTATTATCAGGGCTTCTGATATATATATAAGGTTAATGCCCTGACTCAGTTTGTGTGAACTCATTTGTCTTACAGTTTCATACAGTTCCATATTAACTCTTTGACATATAGGACAGAGTGCTGTTTCCTGAGGAATATTTGTTGTTTAATGTTAATGGTGCCCCAATTCCAATTGGTTAATTGGTTAAACTTTGCATTAATTTCATTGTTGTCTTCTGCCACCTAAAAAAAATTGCAAATCTTGAATAAACACCATTGTACCATTCCAACAGAAAACTGTAAGATATAAAAGTATTATACCGTCTATTCACATGTAGATAAATTTAATCCCATTTCATTTTGCCTCCGAATTACTGAAAATATATATATATTTTTTTCTTTTAAAGAAAAATCATTGTCTACAGATAGATATGAGATACTGTGTGAAAGCCCCATACCAGTACTTTCTCAGCTTGTCTACATGATATTTAAATAAAGTTATGTTGATATAAAAGATGCTGGCTTGCATCAGTCAGTTCTTTAGTGAACTGTGTAGAGTGGTAGTGGAAGAGGCAGCAATATTGTCACCTCATTGTAAATAACTGTTGTAGTCAGTATTTTTTTCATTAAACTGGATCGGTGCAGAAGTCTCATCTTTACTTCCTGTGTGAAGAATTGATTTATGAGGCACAGAAAGACACAGAGGACGTTCTGATTACTTGATCGACAAGCCATTAATTAGAGCATAGTTCTTAAACACAAAGCCTGCAGTCTTAGTGTTGCACCTGGAGCGCACCGCCTCAGGGTTTCTCTCTGACACCCACTCCTCCTCATGACATATCTCACTCTTCCGTCTCTCCTTGTTCTTTGACCTGTCAACTTTTTTCATCACCCTCCTCTCTTTGCTGCAGTTAGTGCTGTTCGGCCTCAGTAACCAGGTGGTGGTGACCTTCAAGGAGGAGAACACGATGACCTTCAAACACCTCTTCCTCAAAGACTACGATGAGTCCACAGATGACTCCTTTGCTGTTTACACGCAGAGCGATGTCTATGACCACATCTTTTATGCCGTGGAGCAGGTAAGCCCTGAGGAAAATGGGAAGCTGCTGAACTGATTAATTGATGAGTCAATCGACAGAACATTATCTGCTGTTTTGATAAAAATCGTTTGTTTCCATCATTTTCAAATGCTGCATTTTCACATTTAGTCAAAATGTGAGTGGGATAGTTTGTGGTATCAGATGTCCTCAGTTAAATCCCAACAAGATGGCTGACGGGCTGGCACACTGCCCAGTCTGGCTCATGACACTAGAATAGATGTTTGGGATATCAAAACCAGAGCCATCAATTTAAACTGTAAAAAACAGTAAAGCAATAAACGAAAGACCATCTTATTGAATCCCTGCACAGGTTGGTAGAAACTGACACTGCAAGCAGAGGCAACAGATTCACGCAGAGTTTAGATAATGAGTTGTGTAAAGTTGACGCCAGAAATTCTGACATACTTTGTGGAATACAGAACAATGCACGAAGACAGTGATGTATCTCAAAGTCATTTTGAACATTTGTGTTATTTTCCTCCAGTCTCTCTCCTTTTTCTTCTCGTCTCTGTATGTTTATGAAGCACATTCATGGATATGCACACTTTTTTCTCAGTTATTCTCCTCTCATCCTCCCCCAGTATCTGGCTTTACCAGAGACCACAGTGGGACGCTATGCATATGTCTACGATGTCGGTGTGAATGGCAGCGCGCTCTCCCTCTGCCAGCAGTACTACAAGAAGGGACGCATTGACCCAGCCAACGATACCTTCAGTATAGACCCTCACATCATCACAGGTACATGAGCTACATTCTACTGCACTGATTTCCATTAACAGCGCTAACAGTGGTAGAAAGCTGCTCTCAAGTCTGTGTAGTGTGAACTTTTCCTCTCTGTGACAAGCTGTTGATCTGTGAAATGCCACACAGTAGTGGTGGGGGTTGTAGCGGATGTAGGACATATGTGCCGTAATATGAGTTTAGTCATACCATTTATGCAAGAATTTAATAGAATTTAATTGTCACATCACGTTAAGTGCACCGTGAGCATTTGCATCACTGCATGTGAACCAGAGCGGCCGATAACTAGATAAAGCCCACTGAAAGCACGGGTGCACCTCTCCTTTGACACTAAAAAAAACACATGAAAAAATGGTGATAGTGCTGCAGTGACAGATCACAAGAAGAATAAATTGTTCTCAGAAGGGATGCTCCAAGCATATTTGCATATAGTTTGGTTTCACAAAGTCAGAGGTCAAGCAGAGAACAATTATCTACAGACCAGACTGTCCAGGGTGACAGTTGTTGCCTGAGGGGGGCAACACAAACATTGACTTCAAAAGGGAACGTCTGAGTAGGAGGAATGTCTGAGGGTGCATTCTGGCTCTTACACAAGTAGCTGTGAAAGCTGGAGTGTATTCTCAAACAAAAGGCTTTTTTAGAATAACTCCAACCACAGGAAATAAACAGCTGCAATCCAAGAGTCTTGTACGGGTTTTCATGTCACATTCCACTGAAATTAGGTGAAAATACAATGTGATATTTATTTCATTGTGTGCAGCCCTGGTCACATTTTTGGCTTCTAGTAAGTTTCAAATTGTCTGCAAAACAAATTATATTAATCATATAGATAATGGTTGCTATGGAACTGCATTACATTCACCACACTCAAGCCTTATCTCATAATTGTGACTTACTATCTCATAATTAATAACTGTGACCTGCAGGACGGTTCTCTGTGTTCCTTCAGAAGCAGCAAAAACAGTACAGGATTCTTCATAGGCACAAAGTCACTCATCATAAATAATCCAGGAAGGCTTTGAGATGATCCAGCATGCAATACAGTGTGATTAAAAATGTTTACAGCGGCAATATAGCAATTTTTGACTCCACCTAATCAGGTCACTTAATCTGATGTGTTACAAAATACAATGTAGCACCTGATCTCGCAATTATGAAGATACTGAAGTCATAATAACATGATAAGGTCCACTTTATCATTGCATTTACAAGATGGCTGTTTTTTTGTTCCCCAGAATACTGAATTATTTTGTCCTGTCATGGCATTTCATGTGAATTAATTTACCTTTTGTCAAAAATCTAGTGCTGGCCTTTTTATGATTTTTATCTGCTGAAGGTGAAGCAAGCAAACTAGAGGTGATTATGAACACCGATGGGAACACTTAACTTTAACCCCCATGCCCCTATTTAACATTTATAAGCAGTGTACAATACATGGTTTATTCTATGTGTGACATAATATAATGTGATTGTAAACAGATATGTGTTTATGTATTTGTCAACAGCTATACGTTATCATGTGGCATACAAACAGATAGTGAAGGACGATAAAGTAAAACACAGCTGTAGTGACATAAAATATGTCTTCATAGTAAAGGTTATAATGGTTGACAAATACAATACATTAATATTTCACAAATCATTTGATAAATGTTTGTATAGTGCTTATAAATGCTAAGCAGGAGGGATTAAAGAAAAGTGTCACCATTTCCTATTTGCTTGTCAAAAGTTTCTTACTTCCTCATGTTAGTGTGTGTTTGAGTTAAATTAGACCAATTTAAGAGGAAGTAAGATCAACAGTGGGAACAAGATCATGTTAACATCTTTCTTATCCTCATATCACTCGTACGTCAAATGTTTCTTTGTGATCTGCTACTTCTAATAATGCTGACAAGATTTCATATTTGATTATATTTTGTATTCAGTGTGTAGAAAAGGAACAGCAAAATGCCAGAGATCAGAAATCCCCCTCTTTGATTGTAGCTTCAGAATATCCCAGTGTTTACTCAACATGGCATTTCTCTTCCTGTTCTCCACCATCTTCAGACTGTATAGGTGTGAACCCTCTGTCGGTCCCTCCGGCTCCACTCGGCAGCAGCTACAAGAACTTTACGCTCAAGTTCCACAAGTAAGGCTTCATTTTTCGCATGGCTTTGGCTTCCCCTCGTTTGGCCTCTACTGCCAAGATTATCTCTGTAATATCTGATGACAACCAGTCGCTTATCTCTGCTGCACACGCACGTTCAAGCATGTGTACAAGGACACTGATACAAGTTTAGATACAAAAACACACACATAGTTCGCTGTCCTGATTCATGCCTGTCTGATCATTTTTAGGCATCAATAATCTTTATTGTGTGCATGAATGCATAGAAATATTTCACTTGAACAAATGAAAAATGTGAAATTAACAGTGAACAAATAAACAGTGCTTAGGCCCCTAATCAATTAAATCCCAACAAGATCGCTGATGGGGTGGCGCACCGGTCAGTGAGGTCATCACATCATGACACTAGAAAAGATGTTTGATGCAACAACTAGTGGGATATCAAAATGATAATTTAATGAATCCCTATACAGGTTAGTAGGATTCACACCATAGACACTGGCACTACAAACCAGTGTTCACATGTTACCAAGCTTCCCTCTCAATTTCCATCTGTCTGTTTCATCTTTTTCAAGGCTCATTAATGTCACCATAGAGTTCAAGTTGAAGGCAATCAATATACAGACCATCATCAACAACGAGATCCCAGACTGCTACACTTTTTCCGTAACGGTGAGTACAAATGGTAGAGACATATGAATGGTTGATCCAAAGGTAATGTCTGATGGGTTGATTCCAGGGGCTGTCATGTACCCAGACAGTTGATGGTTCGGTCCCCAGCACTGCTGAGGGGCATTTACTGGACATGTCTTGGATTATTTAGTGTATAGACAAATTAATGAATTGCTGAGCTCAACACAGAGTGCGGTATTCTATGAAAACTCCACACAGACGATACAAGACAATTTGTTCCCTTTAATATAATGGGACTGAATGAGACTTTTCAGGTGAAGGTTCTTGGTTGTCAAAAGGAGATCCTGGATTTGTAATAAAGAGAGACATGTCTTTAGGTATACGGTCATGCCCTAAAAAAGATTGATTAGTCAAGTTATCATGTTGATTAGACTTATACAGTAATCGTACATATTTTAGTTTAGTTGTTCTGATACCTCCAACACAGTCAGTCTGAACATTTATCTTTCTTACTCATTGAGCATTATGTTTGACTTTCATCATGCAACACTATGACAAACAATATGACAAATAACACAGATCAAATTTGCACCATAATATTTGACTTCTTAAACAAATTAAACTATTACACATTCTATTAGATCATACTTCGTTGTCTGAAATACATGTCAAAAAGTACAGTTCCAAAGGAAATGAATTGTTGTGTCGGCCTCCTTTCTCCTCCAGATAGTTCTGGACAACAAGGCTCACAGCGGCAAGGTGAAGATCCGGTTAGAAAACCAGGCATCAATAAAGGAGTGTAAAGACCCGAGCATCTCTGGACATGGTGAGACAGCACGTGAGCGGATGGTTGGGGCTCTTGAGAAGAGGTTTGAGCAGCATGTGATATAAGACTCATAGCAGTCAGAGAAATGCTGCAAGTGAAAGAAACAGGATGTGAACTTGAAGGGTGGTAGGGAACATGAGGATGTTAAAAGTTGGTTACAGTTACCATTACTGAACCAACATGAAGTTTCAGTACATGAAGTTATTTATACAGCCGTACTTAACAAGGGTGGTGCGCTACTGCCAGATTGAAGTGAAAGACTGTTAACAGCTCTGTTTTTTGGTGTTTTTTTGTCTCCCTTTAAACCCCCAGCTGACAGCTACTCACGTGTAGCTTTTGATATCATCGTGGCTCTGGTGTGTGTCGTGTCACTGCTGCTCTGTGGACGCTCCATACTGCGAGGCATCATGCTGCAACAGGTAAGGAAAGTCTGCTACAACCAAAAGAGAGGAAAACATACGACAGAATGAGGGCTCTGAATAAGAGCGTTGACTCAAGCAGAATCAGGCTTTAGATGGTGAGAATGCTGAGTTAAAATCAAGGGGAAAAGTGACTGAATGTGTGTAGTTAATGTACATAAACGTACAGTCAATAAACCTCTTAGTGCATATACCCCTCATTCTTCAATTTGGCCTTTCCCTCTCACTGTCTCTGTGTTTTTCAGGAGTTTGTGCAGTTCTTCAAGGAAACTCTGGATCGTAAAGTGTGCTGGGGAGACCGGCTTGAGTTCATTAATGGCTGGTATATCCTCCTTATCGTCAGCGATATCCTCACCATCACTGGCACTATCATCAAAGTCGGCATTGAATCTAAGGTGTGTCCTTCTTACCCCTACACCATTCAATGACGACATCTGCCACAGTAGTTCTTGTAGTTAGTTTCTTACAGTTTAATGTGCTCTGTGTAAACGATAATACCTGATAAAGGAGGCAAACCACTTTGCATTGCGTTGGGTGCTTCTTAGCCCCTGAGGCATCCATTATAATCTTGAACCTACAAACTTGAAGGAACTTGTTATCCCACTTATACCGTGGCCTGATAGCAACAAAATGCCAATCTCAACAACAGAGAGTGGCAGCGTCTTCTGATACATGATGTTAAACTAACTGTCCAGCAGAGATAATGTTACACACACTCCCTCACTCTCACCTCTGACTTCTCCACATTTATTTATTTCCTGTTCAGTTTTGGTTGCCTTTCCTCTGTGGTCTTCTTTCCTTTCCTCTGCAGGTGTCCCTCAGACTCAGGCTTCCAACTAATGTTATTTAGCTGCTGTATTTAATTCCAGTTTACTCTTTATACGGTGTATTTGTTTTCATTGTCAAGCTGGTATCTCTTCTTTTCTCCTGTCAGAACATGTCCTCCTATGACCTCTGTGGTATCCTGTTGGGGACCTCCACACTTCTGGTGTGGGTGGGAGTCATCCGCTACCTCACATTCTTCCAGAAATACAATGTAAGTCTCAGATTCACTGGTATGCGACAACTGATATTGTTGTAACTTGCTGCTGATTTAATAACTGGTGAGAAGGTGAGAAAATGTTCCTCTGCTCTCTCACACACTGTGATTTGATCTGTGCGATGTCTCTGTGCCTCCTACAGATCCTGATCGTCACACTTCGAGCAGCGTTCCCCAATGTGATTCGGTTCTGCCTCTGTGTGGCCGTCATCTATCTGGGTTACTGCTTCTGTGGCTGGATCGTCCTGGGACCATACCATGTCAAGGTGAGTAAAACTGAAACCCTTGTAGACAGGAGAGTAATCAGTGTAGTAAAACTACTGAATTTAAAATGTTAAAAATGTGTTGTTTAGTGTAGTCAAATATTTCTGTTTCTTTCTCTTTCCCTTCACATGCAACTCTTTGCCTACCTCAGATAATACTCATCACCATGAACTGAATGATTTATTTCAGTCTGTGGACTGAATAAAAAAGGTTTGATGGAGCTTACTGTTTTCTCTCCCTCAGTTCCGTTCCCTGTCCATGGTGTCGGAGTGTCTGTTCTCCCTCATTAACGGGGACGACATGTTTGTGACGTTCGCGGAGATGCAGGAGAGCAGTACTCTGGTGTGGCTGTTCAGCCAAGTTTACCTGTACACTTTCATCTCGCTCTTCATCTACATGGTGCTGTCGCTGTTTATTGCCCTCATCACAGGAGCCTATGAGACCATTAAGGTAGGAAAAGGGGTCTACTTAATCCAGGTTTATCATTTCGACTGCCTGGTGTCAGAGCTGTAGAATAGGGAAGACACAGGTGAAAAAAACTAAATAATAAAACCAACAATGATGAATTCTCATTGATTTCTACAGCACCAAACCCAAGAACCCATCCATATCACAGACCTACACGCCTTCATAGCAGAGTGTACAGATGCACCAAGCTCTGGGAAGTTCAGGGGTCTGGAGACCTCGCCGTGCTCCTTCTTCTGCTGCTGTGACAGGTGAGGAGGAGAGGGCCGACATGAGAGCAACAACAACAATCTTCTCTGTGGAGTCTCGTGAACACAACAGATGATTGATCAACAAGGACGGAATAATTATTTTTAGAATAATTATATCTAAGTGTATCTAAACATCACTGCAGCAGGACAGATTGATAACAGACAGTAGGAGTAAAGGAAAGAAAGGGTAAGACATTGTGTGAGCTACCTGGTTATATCGGGTAACAAAAGCTCAATATTTCAGCCAAAGTTTCATCTGTGTTAGAGAGACAGCATTGTTTCTAGCTGGATAACCATGATTTTTTTTTTTTTTTTAGGGACTTTTGAAACAAAATTAAAGCAAAACGTATTCAAAAATTAAAAAAAGATTTACAAGGTTTTCACATGACACCATCAGGTTTGGAAAATATCGCATTTCTCCATCACTTTGGCCATTTCTTTTCATCTTGTTGTGACATAATTTGTCAAGATGTTTCAAGTATATTTCAGTAAATAAAACAATTATGTGACTCTAAATGAGAATATATGATTATGATATGAAATATCATGACTGTAGAAAATCGTTAACATGTGCCATCTGTCTTTGATTTCCCCCCAGGACGACGACGTACGAGGACGTCCTGCTGGTGAACTGACGTTGATCTCAGTGACCTCAATAGCCTCCCCTGCTGACCACAGGGATACACTGCACAGTCCTGATGCCCAGTGTCTCTGTACAAACATACTGTGTCTGTGTCAAACCTCAGCACTCATCTGAAGGAGTCACCGCCATCAGCCGGACCAGCACTCTGTAGAGGGAGTATGTAACAACAGTCTTTTCATTGGACCTATTGCTTTTCCTGTCCTCGACTCCATGAAGAAGAAACTGAGGACTGATCAGAGGCTGGACTTGTCCTCTGTATGAAGAGGAAGACAAGGCAGCATCATGGATGACTAATGCAAATACATTTCTCTGTTCCTTGTTGGTATTTAAAACAAGTATCAGTATTTTTTCTTATGTATTTAACAATGCACAATGCTGAACCAGGAAAAGGACCTGTTGTAAAGATACTAAGTGGGTACAACTGCCATGATGAGGACTGCAGAAGAGCATACATGGTGCTGACTGTTTTTATGGTTTTTTTTTTGTTGTTGTTTTTTTTACTATAGTATTTCAAATTCAGTTACCTCTTGAGGACAGGGCTCTTAAAATGAGGCATTTATACATCTCACAAAACATATCCACTGTCTTCTCCTTTTTACCAAAACCCATTTTGAAATAGTGTTCTTTACTGCAAAAATGACTCAGCAGAGGACACTAGAATCATACTGGGACATGTAAATGTATACAGTATGAGAGGAAGAAATCCACCTTCTAGTAGTCTGTCTTTATTTAAGACAATCAGGGAGATGACTTCCAGAAAAATACTGGAAAACAGGACCATATACAGAATGCGGTTTTAGGTGTTGACTTGACTCGATTTGTTTGCTCTACTATGAGCTGCACCTACAGTATAAAGTTTCAAACAGTTTCTCTAGCTGCGCTTTTACTGCACAAGCATCACATTGCCTTCAAATGTGGATCTTTGTTTTGTTTTTGTTGCTGCACTTGATTGCTGTAGTAGATTGTGTTGCATTTATCTGAGTAAAGATCAATACAGTGGGATGCACTCACTCACTAATGAAGCACTCAGCATTGCCTGTGGTCAGCTACAACAAGGAAAGCTGCTCTCCAGAGCCATATGCATGTTTCTTTAATGATGCCAAAGTTCAGAAGGTAGAAATCTGACCCCCTTTCTCCATCTCTTTACGGCACTGACGGCCATCAACAAATAGCATCCGACTTGTTTAGTCTTTAGGGAAAAAAACTTGACTTGCCTTACAAAATAGAGCAGGGGTTTGGGGTAGATAACAAGGAGATGTAATGATGGCAGAAACGTATTTGTAGAGCTGCTATAATGTCTTGCCATGTCTTCATAATTATGTCTTGTCTAAAACTGTAGACCAGTGACCGGATCTTTAGTGGACGCTTGAATAACTTTATTTCTCTTTGTCTATGTACCGCATAAAACGCACAGTAGTATAGGGAGTCTCACAGTCTGGACTCCAGAAGGTGTTTTTAGGACAATAGTTTATTTTGTTAGGGAGAGATGATCTTTTAGCAGTAACAGGTTAATTGAGTGTAAGATGACAGTATTTTTTTAGTCATCTCATATTCTGTCTTATAAACAAACACGTCACATTTAAGCTAATTATTCGTAGGGACTTTGGCTCGAGATGACAAATGTGTGCCAAATGTATCCAAGGCCTTAACTTTAAATGGTATTACATGCATGTTTATATTATCTAGTACCTCTCCTACAGTTTGAAGGTATCATGTTTTTTTATACAAATAATATGCACTTGTACTTGTGAAATGCAAACATGAAGTCATCTACATGGTGTCATATGTTGCCAATCTACTGATTAAACTTTCCCGGGTCATCTTTGATATTAAAACTGTTTGTGGAAGACAATACAGATTATGTGTTAGTTTCATTCAAACACAGTTCCTTTGAATCATCAGAAGAGGGAGCAAGTAGTTAATGTGTGTGGATACTGATTCATGAAACACAGCACCAAAGGACTATAAGTTTATTTTTCTACTTGAAGACGGAAAGGGCACATTAAGGACGTAGAAGAAACTACGATTCGTGATTTTGTCTAAAACATTGTCAAACACAGCGCTTGTGAATGTTTCAGTCGCGACGCTGCAGCACAAAGCTCTGTGGAGGGAAATTACAATTCTGTTTTTTGTTTTTTTTATGTCAGAACAGTCCAATATGATGAACTCATTTCCTGGTTATTGAGCTCTCCAAGCAAGGCTTGGCAGCAGATGTAGCACATCTTTGCTTTCCACCCACTTAACCTGATATCATCATACATTATGTACTGCTCTCGATGGTTCGTGTTGGGAGTGTGTGTGGGAGAAGCAAAGGTACAGTTCATAGTTTAATGCATCTCATAAATATGTTTCATTCATCTTCCTAGAACAGAGAATAATCCTTTTCACATGATGAGAGTATATGTCGAACTACTCTAATTGTGCTATTGATTCACAATGAAAGCCCAGAGGAAAACTCTTGCTCTAGAAGCTGCTAATCAGTTGTAGATTCAGTGTGCTGGTGTCAGGTGTGGTTCTTTGTTAATGCCAGTTTGATCGCAGCTTGAAATGAAATGTGCTCCAGTCAAGTGTGACTTGCTGTTTGAACTTCAGGGACTTTTATATTAACAAAGCACCTCAGATTAAAAAAAAAGGCAGATCTGTAGCAGCAGCAGCAGCAGCAGTTTCCTCTTCCTTTTATTCAGTGAGTCACCAAATCTGCAGCCTGACATTGTGTTTGGTGTGTCAGTCGGTGTGTGTGTGTGGGGCCTGCAGAGTGTGTTTTATGCTACAGGCAGAGTGTGCAGCTGTCTTCACTGCAAGATGTTTGGGCAGATGGGTGACCAGACCACACTAAAGAAAGAGATTTAAAGGAAGTCAAGTCTGTATAGTCAAGTCTAACACCCCCTCAGTCTATCCTAATTCTGTTTTTACCAGAGCACAGCACTGAGCCACACCCTTGTGTAACAACATTATGAAGCAATCTGAAATGGATGGGCAGGATGTGAGGAGATTTACTAGCTTTTTCAGCGCAGTGATATAATGATGGATGCCATTAGTGCCTAGTTTAGTCAAATAAGAAAAGGAGGCTAAAATGGTCTACTGACATACTTCTGGTGGATCCGCATCCAAGAGCCTGTTTCCTGTGGCAAGAGCTTTGCATGTAGTTTTTGGCTTCAGATTTGCACAAACTATGTAAAATTACTTGGTAAAAATCAGCTGAAATGGTTCTGAAAACCTTCTTTTAAGTGACCTTGCTACAAATTCGAGTATTTAAACGGTTTGCTGATATTGAGTTTAAGTTAAAGAATTAGTGACACTTTAGCGAGGGTTTGGGGTTTTCCCCCTCGCTCTGGCGCAGGGCCCCTTGCCGACTGGAAAGGCTGACAGGCTGCTGATGAAACCACTGCCAGAGTCCTGTAAAGAGCAAGGATGGAGACAGGCAGAGCTGAGACATGACTCACACACTCTCACTCTACATTGAGCCACACTGAGAACGTGTGCACTGACGAGTCCATGTTTGATGATTTCTGGTAAGCCTTCATTCCTCCCTTCGCTCGCAGACTTTTAGATTTCTCTTCGCCCAAGGCTTTTTCTTTTACACGCCTCTGTTCTTTCTCCTCCTCTCTGAGTATTATTGGAGAAAACAACAGCTGATGTCAGATGTCTTAACCCATTCACTCTTTCTCTCTCTGTGAGTTGCAATAGTCTTTGTATGTCCTCTCCCTTTTCATTGATTTCTATTGTGGAGCCTGCAGCTGCAACTCAACATTTAAAAAAAAAAGGCTTTCAGCTTGCAGCTATTGTGTGTTTGTACCATAGGGAAATTGACACTGTGCTGGGGTATGACTGTAGCAAATGAGCAATGTAGATTTTAGAGTTTTTATTCAGGCATGCTTCCAACCCTCCAAATCTCAGGAAACAGAAAAATCTCTGTGCATGTGAAGGAGGAAGAATATTATTCATGGAACTTTAATGTCTCAAATTTCATATTCTCAAGTGCAGAAACTAAACACATGTGAGTGGGAGAAAAAGGGCAAGGAGTGTCTGTGGAGTGTCACTGCTTTATTGGAGTCACAGCTCCTGAACTTTTCATGCCTAGAGCCCCTAAATAGATATTCTTGGCAATCCCTGTTTGATGAGATTGCATTGCTCTTCCACATTTTGTCTAACTTGGTACGGAAAAAAGGAGAGAATCACACATTTGACCAGTAGTTGGCAATGGAACAGTGGAAACAATGAAACTTAATTGGAAAAACTAAACAATTAAAATACTGATTTCCATGTGAAACATGCCCAGAGTTGTTGCACATGGTAGAGCTGGTTCTCCATTTGATTTTATCAGCTGAGTAATAATAATTCATTTTAACATAGTTAGAGTGCAAGTTCAGGAGAATAATGAAACAAAAAATAAAAGCAAATGCAAGCACAAACAGTGTATCTGGAAACCAATGAAACAGTTATACTTCCTCTTATCCTGTCTTCTGCAGACTGAAATAAAAACAGGGTTAATCTGGGTCACCTCAGTTTGGACTCAGGCACTAAAAAAGTATGTCTCACAAGCTGGACGCAGGGAAGGATGTGAGCATTTACTGGGCAGGGGGAAATTATTTAACTATGGTAGTTGCAATCTGGGAAATGTTGGTGGCGCTTGACAAATGCAAGGGACTAAAGTTTAGGATATCTCTGCCTTTTCTTTTTAAAAATTTGACCACTCCTTTTTAATTTTTGTGTTGTGAGTCATCCATATTTGCTGAAGTACAATACTAAATTTGAAGGGGCCCAACCCCTAGATTGGAAACCACTGGATTAAACTACCTAACTACACCAGCAACAACAGTAAAATGCTGCTTACACACGGATGCATCAGTGTTACCAATGTAATAATGTCACATAGAATCAGATATCAGTCACATAAGATATAATCCACTGCAGAAGGAGTAGCCTACTTTTATTTTTGATACTCTGGATATCAAAAGCATTGGATTTTGAATACAGGATGTTTACTTGTATTGGATTTTTTTTTTCTTTTAATTTTTGTACTGATCTGAGCACTTCTTCCACCACTGATGAAATTAAGCTGCTCCGCACTTCCCAGGACCCCACGTTTGGGACCCCCACCCTCCTTCCGCGCCACAGTACAGAGCTCGGGCTTGGTTTGAATTTGACGTCACCCCTGCTTTGCATAACCACCAGTCTCGCGCTTTTGATTGGACCGCTCGCGGGATTTAATCTGCATTTTCTCTTATGACCAACACGCTTCGCCTTCAATCCTCAAACGGACTCCTCGGTCATTCAGCCCCCCTCCCGCCCAGGTCCATCCTTCATTAAGGGGAGCAGTCTGCCGCTGTTAAAACGTGGAGGGAAGGACACAGAGAGGGACGCCCGCCGCTGACTGCGCGGCTCCATTGTTAGTCTGGTTAAATTTACGGTTTTGTCGACATATTTAGTGCATTTTACCTCCGTGCTGGACCTAGAGGGAGGGACTGTTTGTTTCTCCCGGAGTCTTCAGGAGCAGAGGCGGCGGTTGAAAGGTATGGAGATTTTACTACGTTGTAACGTTTCCAGCGCGAGAGAAATTATTAAAATTCTCGTTTATTTGTAATATCTCGACCATAAAGTCCCTCGAAATGACAGATTTGCAAAAAGAAACTCACATTCTTTGTGCTGTATTTTTTTGATTAACCAAACATGATGTGTTTTGAAAGCCAGGCGACCTCTTTGTAATGTGTAGTGGCCAGTTTGTGTCTGGATGTGATGATGGATGTGAAATGTTAGCATTCCCGGCTGTACGGTGGATTCAACGTGGGTTTTATTTTCCTAGAAACGATTATTTGGGTTTACAGTGTTACAATAGTTAGCTGGCACTGTTTTGGTCGTATCAGGTTCAGTTTATTGACTGGCTTCATGTGTTTCTCTCTGCAAGCTTCCCCGGCGTACACTGCTATTGTTCTGTGAGGCTGAACTGGGCCTTTTGCTAAACCAGGGTGAATTCAGCGTGTTTGTTCCCTGGGACAAGTGGTGTTATTAAAGCTCCACTTGAGGCTTGGAAAAACACCCAGTAACTTGTAAAACAATGGCTCCAAAAGTGAGGTCCAGGGACCACCCAGGGGTCCTTGACATGTCAAAACAACATGAGGATCAGTTTGACAATACTTGAAATGTTGGATACTTGGGGGGGTAAAACTTCCTAAAAGTACTACATGTCTTTTTAAGATTTTAGGAACTTGTTGTCTGCTTTCTCAAGTGTTTTGATAATTCTGACTTGTTTCTTGCCAAGCTTGCCGTCATCTCTGTTTTCATATTTGCATCTCTGCACAATCGAGCGATCTCCCTCTCCACTTGGCAGAGTGGTATGAGAAAAGGGAGGCGTACTGGGAGCTCAGAGGCAGACTATCAGGCAGACTATCAGACAGCATCGGCTGCAGATCTCAGTGATAGAGGGATGTTGTTGATCATTCAGGTTTTGGCTCAGAGTCTACATGACATAATTGGTGTGTTTTGAGCCGTGTGGGTGTGGTGGGCAGGGTTAGGGTGTAGGATCAGTGACTCTATCCCTGGCTTCAAAAAGGTATCGGACATGCAGAAACTCACTGGAGAGTGTGTAACCCCTGAAAACCTTCGTGCTAACGATGCCAGGGTGTGTGAGTTGTTGCTGAGCAGTTTATCGTCACCAGGGTGTGAAACCAAGTGTGAATGACACGCGCACGTGGTCTCTCCCTCATGCCTTTTCTGATGTTCTGGCGAAGCTCCAAGGGCTCATTGCAGGGTCACTGTTACTGTGTCGCATTTCAGGGGCGGAACCCCCCAAAATCTGCATTTCGAGTCTGAAAACATCATAACAACAGTCTTACCTATATGAAAGGTTCCACCATTTGCAGCAGATACATGCAGTCTGAATTTGAAGGACTCATCTGGTGTATCATTTATGTCCCTCAGTATCACACAATCCATTGTGCAAAGGTCAATATGTTTTATACATGGATTACCAATGAACAAATAAATATTCCTTTGTTTGTCAAGTAATCATTTACAAAGACATGAGCAGTATGTTTTTCTACATCATGACATTACTTATGTTTGGAATAAGTTGGACCCAAGAGAAGTCTAACTTCCTGTTAGATCTCTTATTGGATTTGGGAGGGATAGTACTGCCAGTCACGGATGCAGAGCATATGAAAATCCATGTATTTAACCAGCGGGGGACCTCAAACAGAAATAATATGTCATTTTGTGTAGCAAACTTCTGAAACATGCCATAAGGTTAAAATCATGTTTATTAGCAATTCTCATAAACTTATGGAAAGTAATTATGTGTTGAGGTGATACAGTAATGTTATGTAGGTTTTTTTTTTTTTTTTTTTTTTTTTTTTTTTTAGCTGTTAAAGTGGGTCCAGGGTCTCTACAATACTCCAAACAGAACATTAAGTTTTAGTTAATTAATTAATTAATCAAACAAGTAAGCCATTAGTTTTGGTCTCTCTCCAAGGCGAGGCTATCTTTTCAGCAGAACAGTGGGTCTGCCCTTCAGTTTCTGTGAAAGACCCGGATCCTTTGTCAGATCCAGCCTCCAAATTGGGACAAAGCTTGTGTTGTCATACTGTACTGTTACGTCCCCTGTCCACACCTCTGTTTCCTTTTCCTCTTCCTAAAGGCCAAAGCAAGCCAGAAGAGGAGCTCAAAATAGTTCTCATTTCAGTGCATTCTGTAACCTTGTGAAAGCTAAAGTTGTTGGATAAGATGATTTGAAAAGAGGAAACTGCCAGCATTATGCAAAGAGAGTTACTTACTTTTAAATCCTCATTCGTCTGAACAGGGTTTGTGTCAAATTCATAAGGTGACCAGTAGTACAGAGACTAAAATATCTACAGCTTGGTGTGACATGGAATTAATTTCATGTTTAATCATGATGAAAACTTTATTCCATGTTTTTGTTTACTGGTTTGCTACAAGATCAAGTTCAGTGTATGGCGTCTCTCTGTCTTGGTATGTGCATCTGTACTCATGCAGGTCTGGTGCCTAATGGGGTGGGTGCAGTTGTTTATTTCAAGCATGACGGTCAGAGAAAAATGCAGGTGGCTGACATTGCAGCAGTAGAGTGACTGTTTAAAATGGATGCCACATATTGGGGAAATGGAACAAGTCTCAATGCTCAGTGACCGAGTGAGTGAAATACCTGTTCTGTGTTTTCACTGAAACATCTTCACTACTCTGAATACCCTCTGGACATATACTTGAACTTTTTTCTTTTCTTTTTTTTTTTTTTTCAAGCTTCAAGATTTTATCTGTGATGACAGGCCTGTGAACAAAAACTAGTCATCTACTTTTTCTACTGTCAGGATTAAGTGTAGGATTAATACATCTAATGGTTGATCTGTGTTGTTTATTCAGCTTTGCGTGTGCATCAGTGCAACAGCTGTGAGAGGTTATGGTGGTTATGGATGTCGGGGTCAAGGGTTTAAATTTCCTCACCACCTCAGTCACAGTGTGAGAACAGAATGTACTTACCAGTTACTCTTTTGTCTTTTGGTATTCATAGTCATTATGGATCAGATTTTAAAGGGAAAATTATCCACATCAGAGAGACGATAAAACTAATTTATTTAAATAAAAGGGGAAACGGAAGGTCATTGCAGTGTTATCTGAATTGATCCATCCATGCTGAATGAATGCAAACATGTATCTCTTTTTTAATTGTGTCCAAGCAACAAAAATTCAAGCAATCAACTTCCCAGCTTTTACTTTGGGGCTACCACTAAGGACTATTTGTATTTGATTAATTGTTTTGTTCATAAAGTTTCAGAGCCCTAGGTGACTTTTCATCAAATGTCTTGGTTTGTCTGACCATCAGTCTAAAACCGAAAGGTATTCAATTTACCATAACGTAATACAAAGAAACGCGGCAAATCTTCACCTTTGGGAACCTAGAACCATCCAATGTTTGGCATTTTTGCTTGAAAAAGTACTGTTGATAGTAGTTGTTGATTCACTTTCCTGTTGGTCAATTAATTGACTAATTGTTGCATTTAACTTGTGTTTGGATCAGGGCTGCAACTAATGATTTTCTTCATCTTTGATTATTCTGCTGATCAATTAATCATTTGATCTTTAAGATGTCAGAAAATCAACTGTTGATTTCAATTTGTATCATTTGATTATAGACTAATCGTTTCAGCTATAGTTTAGTTTACTGAAGTTCAGTTTGAAAGTATTGATACTGAACTGAAATCTGTAAAGGCTGTTTGTACGACGTTGGCACTTTTCAGTCTGTCCCTTGTCTGAGGATTCACTCAGAAGTCAGGGCAGCTGAACGGAAAATACAACCCCTATACAGCATAGAGCATTTGCATCTGCTTGGAAGTCAGCTGCTTTTACAGCATGCAACCAGTGTCAGTCTCAGTCCCACACCCATGGGAATTCAATCCGAACTCTTTCCTGCTCTGTTGCATCTGTTTAGGGTGACATTCAGGGTTTAACTATATTTCATCATTCACCCTTCAGGTTTGTTGTGCATCTCCTGTGTTGCTCTTGGCTGTTGAGCTGTGGGATGGTGAGACGGTGCGGTGCTGTAACTCTCGTCACTGTGGTTTGGAGGCTGGCACTCTCCTGCCCATTAGGATAAAGTGGTGGACGCTGGCGCTGCATTTTTAGGCACTCGGTCTGTCTGGGACTGTGAAGCTGGGCTCAGTGCACTGTAATTATTGAAAGAGTAACTCAGCACTTTCAGAGTCTGTTTGTTAGCTCAATTTGGTAGCCTTGACTGTTACTCCATAGACATACTTTGCTGTGACTTGCCAGCGTGGGGTTTTGTTTTGTTGGAACAAGTGATTATTATTTATTAGTTGCATTTGCATTAGTATTTGTAGTGGTATTTATTGCAGCAATGTATTGTGCAGGTAATAAGACAGAGATGTAGATGATTGGAAAACATATATGTGATTATCCAGCAGCTGTACAAAAAGGAGAGGGGGCATAAGTATATTGTACGATGAGAACATTTCTTAACTTGGCCTCGTTTGCTGTGTGTAGAAGCTGTCCCTACTGATGCAATGCTTCGCATTTTTTTTTATCTATTTGGTTATTGATCCAAGTCTGTCTGAGGTGAATCAAAAGTGCACAACCGCTATAAGGGTGTGCATTTGTTTGTGTTGGGCAGGCTGGGCATATCCTGTTATCATCCTTGGCTCTGCCTCTTAACGTGCATGAGAAAGTTGATCCTGTGTGTTGAGTAATTGGTTTGTGTGTGTGTATTTTGCACTGTTCAGGGGTGTGGCTGTGGGTTTGGTTGTTGTCAGAGAGGCAGGCAGGCGAGGTGTGGGATCAGTGTCCATCTGGCCTCAGCTCACCCTGCTCAGTCAGAGGCATGGTAACTGATCTGGCCCTCAGGCTCTCCAGCATTATATTGACTATCTGCCTGCTTGTCTATAGCCAGTTGGCGGGTGCACAGGAGAGTAGCTGCTGGCTTTAATATAGGAAAACTGATGTCAGCTTTGGCTTCTCTACAGCCAGCCATTCTTGACAGAATCGCTTAATT